GACATATCTCAAATGAATTTAAATATATTCTATGACTAAAATTGTGTAAAAATGACATTTTGATGCTAATATTTTTTTCAAATTTTCAAAAATTACCCTTTCGAGTTTCGAAAAATTAGGAGATATTAATAAAGGAAAAGTGTTGGGAGGTGGGGCCATGATTTTAAATAATGTCGTAAAAATGGGAATGATATGATAACGTTGTGCATTAATTAAATAAAGTTATTGACTTTTACTTTTATCCCCAAACAACCGGCGGGGAATCCAAAGTGAACTAAACGACATCGTGTATAATTAAAGTATAATAATAAATTGCACAGTCAAATAACTTTTTTTTTATTCATTTAAAATTTATCCCACGTTTCATATCGTATGCTTTTTCATTCTGCCTTTTCATTTTTGTTGTCTTTTTAATATAAAATTGATTAGTTTGGTGAAATGAGAAATTCATAATAATTCACAAGTGAGAAAAAAAAATCGAGGAAGTAGTGTAAATTATGATTGAGCTAAGCTCATGTTGACATATCAACCATTATTATAGTAGGTAAACATGAATTAATTACTATTATTAAGTTAATTTTATATTTTTAAGTGGTACTAACTTAGACATAACTCGACTGTTTAAGATATTGTACATATATCCTAAAGGTCAATTATTCGAACCTCCATTCCCACGTTGTTAAATAAAAAAAAAACGACATTTTTGTCAATTCCAACTTTAACACAGTTCAAGTGATAAATATTAATATTTCTTTTTATAAATTAAAAGTTAAAATTCTACCCCACCTCATATTCAAAAAGAAAAATAATTTATGATAGCTATTTTGAGATAAATTATTGGAGGATGTGACCACAATGTAGCCATGGTTTTTTATGAATGGGTGAGAAATCGTAAAAATATTTTAAATATATATCCAAAGATTATCGAAAAGTTTACAAATTTCTGAATCACCCCCAACTGAGAGTAGACCACAATGTGACCGCTTCATTCAATAATTTAAGGAAATTTGGATTATTGACCATAATGACAAACGATCGAGAGCATCGTAAATTTGTAAGAATGACCAACCATTTTAATGGAAGGTTGATTCTAATCATGTACTTTTACATTTTACCCATGTCTATTTTTAGATTTATTGTATTTAGTTCCATGCTCACCAGATCTTTTATAGATCAACTCATCTCGTATTTTCCTATCCTATAAATATTTTTTTATTTAAAATTTCTCAACCAACTACATTTTTCTTTATTCTAAACTACTCTTTAATCATTTCTAGATAATATAGGTTTGGTTATTCCTACCCGTCCTTCTTTTTCTAATTTGTTTATATCTTCCTTTATCGATTTGCATCAATTCAATTTTTTTGATTGTGGTCACAACAATAAATTTATCGGTTACACAATAGATGTACAAGTGAGAAACTACAAAAATATTTCACTACAATGTCAAAGTATACAGATTTTCAAATCACCATCTATGGTGAAAGCAGGTCACACTTTTTTTAGTACAATAAATATAGAGATGTAGGATTGAATTTTCGACCTCGAAAATGAAAATGTCTTAACCATTAAGTTAAGTTCGTGTCAAGAGATAGTCGTCGGAACTTAATCCAGTAGTTTACTCATTTTCGGCCTAAAGATCGGTAACACGGAAGCCCATGACAAGAAGCGGGCTATTACTCTTCCTCCTCTACAAATTGACCTAATTAATACGAGGTTTTACTTTTATTAAACAAGACCTCGAAACCCAACGTTGTTTTTGTTTTTGTTTCAAGTTTCAACAAACCCTATCCAAAATGCAATTTTAAAAATTCCATTTTTTTTTCCTTTCAAAAACTTTAATTTGCAGCACATGAACGCGACTGATAAAAAGAAGGAAATTAGGCCAAAAGGAAAGCGTTTCGCAGTTAAAAATTAAAATATATAAGGCTCTCATCACTTTCTTTACAAAGTTGGCTAAAAAAACAAGAACAAAACCACCAACTTTTGTTCTGCATGTTAGCCTCCACTCATACTAATACCAATTATTTACCAGGAAAAAAAAAAAACCCACAACCGCCCATCCTCAATTTTAACTAAAAAAACCGCCCAGCCCCCAGGTTTAATTTCTTAAATTTCCCTGTCTCTGTCTGTTGTTGTCTCTACAGAAAAACAAGTTTTAGATTCTTAAAACTTTGTTCATGTGAGTTGACGATCATGGGGCACGATTGGTTTTTCTATTTTCTATTTTTTTTAATAATATTTCCATTATTATTTTTTCTGAAAAAGTTTTTTTTGTCTAATCTGTCGTTTTATCTGATCCTTCATGGTTAAGCTAAGAGGGTGAGGAGAAAACCAGAAAATTTTTGCAGACCCCACTACTGAATACGTACCCCCATTTTTCCCTTTTCCACCACCACACACTTCAAAAAAGGATGATATTTATAAACAAATTACCTGCTGCTGATCTTCATCAATGGCGCAATATGCAGCTGCCTTTACTTGGACAAATTAAATGTCCCTTCTTCTCCCCTTCAAACTTCAAAGTTTTCTCCTTTTTTTATGGGTCCCAACTCTGTTCCCCTCCCACCAGTGGCAGACCGGAGAATATATAAAAAGAAAATATTTGCCTACACACTATGTACTAAGATCCTATGTTTCTATTGACTTACGACGTGAAAATCTACTAGATTTCATATCAAAATTAATTGATAATGAGATGAGTAGTCAATCTTTTTGACGTGAATCATTAACAAAATCTCTACAAATCACTATTGAGAATGAGTGACGAGATCGTAGAAAGTTAGAGAGAGCAAAAATAAATTTTTTCTTTTCTTTAAATTACCTTTGAAAATAAGCACTTGTGTAAATAAATAATTTAGTGATGAGCAACAACAAATTTCCTATTGCCCTCATCCTTCTTGTTTTTATGTCTTTCAAAAAGGGATGAAAAATACTTATTTCCTAATTACTATGATCACCACTAAAAATTTGACTATTATTATTTTATTTTGATATCGTGTATCGGATTAATTTGTGTACTCGACTGATCATAGACCAACTATTTGACTCTACTACATTTGGTTGACAAGAAAATTAGTATGATATTAAATTCTAAGTAGGTGGTTAATTAACCATGATTCTCACTAATTCTTTTGCTATTTACATTGACTTTATTGACCATTAAACCATAATTTGACTACTATTATTTAAAATAGATTCCACATGAGCCACAAAGTTAAGATTTAATTATTTTAAAAAATCTGAATAGAAAGATTTGTATATAAAAAGTTAAAAATTTAGCAAATTATTCTTTATGAATTTTTGGTCTGCACTGTCCCCTTCCACTCTTCTTTATATACCCATCTCCTTCTCTTCCTTCCTTCCCTTTTCCCTTCCTCTCTTCTCTCACTTCCACCATAAACCCATTTTGATCAACTCTCTCTCTAATTTCCTTCCCAATGTTCCTCTCTGGAGAACAAGACGTCCGGTTCTGTCGGCCGGTTCTCGAATCCGGGTTCACGCCGTCTGAAATCCAGGAGCTTTGGTCTCTATTCGAAGATCCGGCCGGGTCCAGCCGAGCGGTGGATGACGAGAGGAGGCGCAAGCGAATGATGTCGAACCGGGAGTCGGCGAGGCGTTCCAGGCTGCGGAAGAAGAAGCATTTGGAGAATCTGACGGTTCAAATGGACCGGCTGAAGGTGAAGAACCAGGAGCTGAAAAGGCAGCTGAATGTTGTGATGAACCGTTATTTCATGGTACGGAGACAAAACGACCGTTTGTGGTCGGAGTACGTGGCGCTCCATGCCAGGCTGTCCGACCTTTACCGGATTTCCATGCAACAGAAGATCAAGAATAATGACAACTCCAACTCATGCATGCAAATTTTATTTTAATTATTACTCTTTAGAAATTGATATATATATCAGAAGTTGAAAATGAGAAATAAAAAGAAAAAAAAAACTTTATGGGCTTCAATTTAATGTCTCACCTTGTTATATTGTTTATACATTTACATTTTGGTTACACTAGTTTAATTCATCATTTGATGGGYTTAAAAATATTAAAATGTGACGACATATATTTACGTGGGTTGTTTTTTTACTCTTATGTTTTGTAACAAAAGTTTGTGTTTAATTAAGGTTAAATATTTTTTCCTCCGAATCTATATGTTGCTTTTTAATTTTATTCTTGGTTTTAAAAAAGAAAAAGAATTCAATTTTACCACTTATCTATGACGTATTCAATTTTTTAGTTAATGTCCCTTTAAATGATGAAAGAGTAATCATAAGAAATCTTGTAAATAATATATGTATATATTTTTAATAAAGAAGTGATTTTTTTTTTTACAATAAAAGTAGTGAGTTGTTGACGTAGTAGTATCTTTAAAGGGTCCATTTTTTTATGAACTAATTTAATTATGAAATGCAAACTTTAACTCAATTAGTTAAGTCTTTTTGAATCTCTACCGCATATGTCGATGAATAAAAAGACTTTAATTATAAGTTAACTATGTAATTAAATTTAATATTGCATATTTAAGCCAGATCATGTAAAATAAGTTTTTAATCTTACGAATCAATCCTATGTCTAGTTTATTGAATTGAAATATTAGATTATTCGAAGTCAATATATTTTTTATATAACGAAATTGATTAAGGATGGAGTTAAAAATCGATACCAATATTGGAGATTGTAATAATGTATTTAACGACCTCTAATCCATGCATTACTTTTGTATATGGTACTGAACAAGAATATGAATTTCTAGATCATTCAAATTTTTAAATGTAAAGAGCTCGAAAACTAGTGTATATATACATTATTTAAGTTGTAATCGATAAAAAAGCTTGATTATGATTAATCATAAATATTTTACATTTAACATTTTAAAGGTGATAAAATAAAATACGCAAATACTAACTATAACTAACTATATCCAGAAGCTTTTTAAGATATCTACATAAAATTAGTTTCTCTAAATTTATATCTCAGAATATTGTAAATAAAAATTTCTCTAGAAATATCCTATATTTTAGTAAAATATTCTTTGGTTATCCAAAAAATTCTAAAAAGTTGTTTTAAGATAGGATTAGATTTATAAAAGAAATAATTAAAGAGACTGAAAATCTACTTGTTTAGGCTCTAAAGATTTTTCTCCAATGAATATAGGAGAGATATCTCGGTTTCACATATTAGGTATGTGAGGAAAGTGAATGAAAGTGAAAAATGTGAACGGTTAGAGAGCCTTTTCTCGAAGATTGTCTTTTTCCTTTTGTGCTAATTTCTAATACAGTTTATATATGTTTTATGTCGAATTCAAATGAAGAGACTTATACGATCCAAATTCAAGGTATATACAAATATGACAACTAGCTTCTAGACAGCCATATCCATGGGAGAACATCAAAGTTAAAGACATAAAAAAAAAAATGAAGATTTGATTTTCCAACAACAAGAAAAAGGAAGGAGTGAAAGAAAAAGTTGACAAGAAGTTTCTCTGCCGATTATTAAAAAGCACAGCCATTATTAATCAACATTCCTTCGAGGAAATAACCTCAGGGCAGAGAATGCCGACTGTCGGAGTTTTTCTGGGAGGAAGGGAAAAAAAGTACATATATAACACTTGGGTTTGGTCGTGTCTGTTTTTTCGTATTATTATCCATTAATTTTGAGAAGATTATTAATCATTTGGGTCATTTCCGTAATTTTGATTTATTTTTAACAAATAGATATTGAGATTTCAAGTATGTATACTAACATGCCCATGTGAACATGCATCGGTGCCGCACAGATGAATAAAAGCACATACTTTTATCAATCGATGTTAGGTAGTAGACCAAAATGATTATTTTTTGGAACTTCATCAACTAAAAGTATTTTAAAATTTTGATAGGGATCAAATTTCGTAAAAATTTGTGTACAGATTAAAATGAATATCTTGAAAGTTTGAAGATTAAAATGAAATAATCTCAAAAGTTCTGGAAAAAAAAGTGGGAGAAAGAGATAAGGAGAAAAAGAGGGAAAAAAAGGTGGTGGAAATTGCAATCAAGCAACCAACCAGGTTAAAAAGGTGTCAAAAAAGTTCATAGATTTTCTTTTGACTGAGAAAGCTAAGGTCTTTGGATCATGCAATATTGATAGAGCATGTAAAAGTGAAAGCTAAAGTTTGTCTCTTTGATTTCTGCCCCAACTTTGCAAGAAGTTATGAAGATCAGCACGACACTTTGAGGAATAATTAAGTTCATTTTGCTTAATTAAAAGCCTCTTTAATTTTCGAATATGCGAATCTTCATACTAAATATATATATACAAAGAAACTTCTTGCATTTACTATGATTAGAATTAAAGAGTGTGATTCTGTTTAAAAAAGTTTAATGCATGATAATTACGATAATAATATCGTGCTTTAAATTTAGGATTTATTTTGTGAGGTCTAAGAAAAATGATAAAAAAAATTCTCATGGAATCTTCATATTAACTAAGAACAATAATCTTGTGTCCCTAGTTTGAATTTGGAAATGGGGATGGAAAATGTATTATAACCTTGTTCTTGACCTTCAACTCAAACTTACACTCTATTTTTCACATACATATAAAATGTATAATTATTAAATACTTTTCAAAATTAATAAAAAAATGTAATATACATTTCTATACATTATTTTAACAATTAAACAGTTGAAATAGTTAATTTGGATGTATATATAACAATTAAAAACGAAATTATCAAAGAGAACATAACTTAGCGGTAATATTGGCATATGTCTCCAACTAAGAGGTTGTGAGTTCGAATCCCCTCCCCAACATGTTGTACTAAAAAAACAAAAACACTAGTCGAAAAGCTTTGTTAAACTATCCCCATTTAGGTCACTCATCACCTTGGAATAACTCAAAAATGATTTGAACAATGAAGGAAGAGGAAGAAACAGCCTGCTTCACCAGCTTTTTAAGAACTTTCATTATAATCTTCATATCTGTTCGGTCAGAAATGTCATTATACTCTTAGGTTTTTGCTGAATAAAAATGCTCAATTCTGTGATTTACGCTCAAGGGTCTCTCTCTCTCCAAAGTAACACTTGATCTCCAAGCAACATTATTAATCACTTTTGTTCTTTTCTGCAATTAAGAAATCCAAAAAAAAACAAACTCCCATCCTTTTCCACTTTATTGACACAACCATGGAAGAAGGATCTGTATATTACACTTCAAAATTATACAACCAAAAACAATAACAATAATAGACAACCTCTAGTGGTAATTGGTCGAACCAGAACCAGAAAAAATAGTAAGGTCGGGTAGCTGTAAGCTAACCAAACACTCACGAATATTCAAAAAATAGAAAAAAAATCCTTGGGATTAGCCAAAAATTGGAAATTTGATACTACTCTTCCATACCCAACAGCCTTTTCGTCTGAAAGCAACACCTTGGCCAGAAAGAAATCTCAGATTCATGCATTCAGAAAAAGTAGCAAAAGCAGGATAATAAAATGATGGGCACGAGAGAAACTTATTTTATCAGTCACAACTCTCAGAATCCAAAAGAAACAGACTTCAAAAATCTCCATACTTCCATTACACCAATCAAACCAATAAGTTCACTACTGTAGCCCTTCTAACAACTAAACTTACTGTACCTTTTTTTCTTTCTTTCTTTTCTTTTTTGTTCTTTCTTTGACAGAGAATGGGGCTCAGGCTCCGGCATTGCTGTAATGAGATCCTCCGCATATCTTTGTTTTCACGTACAGTAAAAGAAAGAAGGCCACGGGTAAAGACAAGCAATGATTTGACAAAGAAAATGTATAAGAAAACAAAAAGTCTGCTAAAAAACAGCTAAGGCACAACCTTTGTATGGTGGTGGCAGTAACCTTAGCCGTAAAAACTTAAAACATGTTTTTACCTTGTCAAATCTTGAAAAGAGTTTAAACCATTTAGTCTGTATCTAAAATTTAACATCTTACAAGTTCTCTTAACATCTTGCAGATGTAGTGAAGTCACATAGTTGTTTTGTAAGATTAGTCAAGGTATATATATGCTGGTCTAAACACTTACAATATCTGAGTAGTGTGCATATCTCTCACTCTTCCTCGGTGTAAGCTACCATAAATGATTGATGTTTTTTCAGTCTGTTTCAAGCCTATGATGAATCAGGTTCTGACAGATGGGCTTTTTTTTCTCTTCTATCCATGAATTATTAATTTGCACCACATAATCTCTACCAACTGTAACTGAATTGCCTTTGCCTATTATATGTTCTTCTATTCTCCACTCCCATTTCAACCTTTCTTTTTCATAGCATCCATGAAACCAAGATCACCATTGAGACGACTTCTGCAAGAGCAACAAGAACCTTTTGAGTTGGAGGATTACCTTTTCGAGAGAGACTACTCGATAAAGAGCTTGAATGGGAGCACTGGCTTTGCCTGCAGCGGTGGAAGATTAGACAGCATTAAGAAGTTTGGAAAGGGATTCGTAAAGATTAATAAGAAACTGAGGAATTCATGTAAGAAACTTGTTTCCATCAACAGGAAGCAGAAAACTAAGAATTTGGGAAACAATGGTGGGACTTCTAATGTTGGTTGCAAGAGAGTTGCAGAATCAGAGAAGTTTTCTTCTGCCAACAGCTCCCCAGAGATGTTTGGTTCCTTTTCTGGAAATGATCATGAAGAAATGTCGCCTTCAACGAGAGGACGTCACACTAATTCATCAACTTCAGACACCTTCAGGGCTCCAGAAACCTGCAACTTGCAAGTAGTGAAGGTATGATCACTCTCCAGATATCTCACTCCAAATCTGTTCACTTGTTTTCAGATTAAATTATGATAACTTGCTCCAAACAACCCATTCATCAAATCTATCAGAACTATGAGGCATTTTTTAGTCCAGAGTACATTAACATAAATCCCCATTTATATCATATCAATGGGAATTTAAGAATGTGAAATTCCCAAGTCTACCAGACGGACTTGAATTATTTCCAACTTCTGTGAACTTGATGGACCATGTAACATTCACACAGTTCTTGAGGAACTTTAGTTTTCATTTGAGCTAACAAGATCAAACAGGTTGCGGCAGGAAAAAAGATCGTGTCTAGAAGCATGGAACCAAGTAAGCAACTCAGTCCTAGATTTGACACTGATTTTCATTTTATCTTCCATGTCCAAGAAGTTACCACCCTGTATATAGGGAGTCTCCAATCAAAACTTCAAATTGAATGAATGAATATGAATACCCACCCCCAACCCAAATCAACTGCATATGAATGAACTAAACTTGTTTAGGTCGTGAAAACAGGGAAGCAGAGTCAAGATAATCGACTATGCAAGGGCATTCCTCTGAAGAAGAAAGTTACAGAAGACTCGATTCTATCAGCCACTCTCTGGGAACTACTACTTTACTCCGCAGCAACAGAGAAAACGAGTAGCATCGGGACTGCAGAACTGCAGGAGCTTGTAACATCCAACCCTGCGTCTCAGCTCCTGATATCCAAAAGGGTAATACATCAGACAAAGCAGCTTCTTTTTGACTGTGTGAGGGAGGTGGTGGAGGCCCATTCCAAGCGGGGCAGGCACTTGGGGTCTGAAGAAGCCACAGTTGAAGAAGCAAACTTACTGAATCTACTGAACTCAGATTTCCTGGACTCAGTAGCAGAATGGAGGGATTTGAAGCAGCAGAAGCAACTTATAGGGACAGAGATTGGAGAAATCGTTCTCAAAGAGATCATCAATGAAGTTGTTACTCAACTAATTGATAATCTGTGACCTACTACTACTACCTTCTGCCTTCCCTTATACTAAGATTCCCATACAGAGTTTTTCCAGATTCAACTGGCTACAAAAAGACCAAAGCATCCTATATAATCTTGTTTACAAAAATCTCCCTAGCCCAAAAGAGGGGAGGGCTGTGAATTTTGTATTGCAACAATTATTACCAGTTATAAAGTACAGATTCCTTGATTGCTATTCAGATATAAACGTGCAATGCAACAGTTAAGATCTATACAAGCACATTAGACATTCACATGCGTATGAATTTAACCTTCTACTCATATCCTAGAAGTTTCACTCAACTATCTGAGCCCCTGCCTCTATTGAATGTATACTGTCAGAAATTACGCTTCAGAAAGAATGCAGATACCAATAGCCAATCTTAAGTGAATTTGGATCACTCAAATCATTAGCATCAAACCATTTTACAAGCTTAGAAATATCTCTTAAATACTACAAGACCATCCCTTCAGATACTAAAGACACATTGGGCCCCTGCCTCAGTAAAATGTACACTTTCAGCAATTATATCTTCAGAAAGAATGCAGATAATATAACAATAGCCAATCTTCACGAGTTTGGATCACTCAAATCATTTCATAAACCTATTTCAGTTTTATAAAGGCCTCAAACCATTTAACAAGCTCAGAAATATCTCTTAAGTACTACAAACAAAACCACCCATTCAGATATTAAATCACCTCAAATAGTACACATTGCACGTCTTGCAACATCTAATCAAGGGGTTGTCGGCATAAAGTGATTCCTTCTGTTGTCCATTACAGGCTAATCCATGTGTTCTTCACCTCTTGCTTTTAGAAAGACCAGACATATGCATAAAGTTAGAAATTGTGGACAGAAAATTTGAAGTTTTGAAAAAGTTCTACTCCAAGTTTTAACAACCATGATCTGGCTGTGAACACTCAATTTTGATGTCAATTTATACAGCCTTCCTATGTTTTCATTCTGGTTATAAATTGTGCTGTAAAATCAACTTAGAGATAATCTCAGTAACCAAACTTCTGTCAGTAAAAACAACCGCAAAAAAGCAGCATGTGGATTTTACTCTCTAGCAGAATTACAACAAATACTAGGGGAAGTCGCAACTTACAAAACCAGCTCTAATAAAAATCGCTTCCAATTAAGTGGCTCGTTCACATTCGCCACTAACTCCTCTAAGGAACACTACAGAGTATCCACTAACAGACAATGGAAGAATGATAATTGCGTCGCCCTTCATCTCTCTCCCATTCAAAATAATTCTTTCCAGAGGTTGCCATCAGTGGCTCTTAAAATCACAATGATCGTGCTACGCCGGGTGAACGGTTGGCCCCTTGGAAGCATAGAAGCAGAATCCTGAAACCAAGAGCAACCAGAAACTATTGAATTTCTCCATCTTCACCAAGCTCCCCATCTTCAAGTTCATCATGTCCACCATTTCTACGGGAACCATCTCGATGATCTCTCTTGTGCCTTCTGTGCCTACTCTCACTGTCTGATTCAGGTGAATATGCGTGCTGCAAAGAAAAATACATGAGATTTAATTTCTGTTCTCGTCAAAGATAACAAAGTCACAAGCATCTATGAGGATATTCACGTGCCTTCCTTGATTTTTTTCGGTCGCTACTATGTTTGCGTGACTTCTTAGACTCCTCTCTCTCATCTTTACCAGAACCACCATCATCAGTGGCACTATGATGCCGCTTCCGGTGCTTCCTATCTTTCTCTTTTTCTCTTTTCTTATCTTCTCTGTAGCCATGAGTTTCGCTTGCATCTACATTTTCACTATCTGATTCATCCTTCTTAATCCGGCCCTTTTCTTTTTCACGTTCTCTCTCCTTATCCTTTCGCTCTTTCTCCTTCCGCTTCTCCTTTTCCTCCCGTTCTTTTTCCTTTTTAGCCTGTGAAAATAGAAGTTCTCTTCTGAGAAGGAGAAAAAATTATAAACAGTTTTTTATTACATTTTCACTAAAGTTGTCAAAGGAGTTGAATCACTGAGGGCTTGGCTTCAAAATAATAACAATAACAACAACAAATATCTTTATGTTAGAAACTTAAAACAGCATTAGAAAGAAAAACAATGGTTTTCCAATTCTTTCATTCAAGAAAACTTGGTTTCTCATAAGTAAATAAATAAAAGAACAAACAACATAAGGAGAGGGAGCAAGGAAATTTTTTTATAAAATAAACCTAAGCAATGTGGAAAAGGCATCACTAAGCATGGAGATAGTACGTATTGCCCATCTTCAAATCTTACAAGCACAATAAAAATCATATCATACACACCAGAACCTCAAAAACTTTCCTGTATAAATGGTTTCAGAGTCTCATCAAAGCCCAGAAGGTAACTTATTTAATCAATGAATCGTCCATTTAATATTTGAATAAGGATGGATAAGGTTTTGAATTCCTTTTAAAAAAAATTGTGACAAGGACAGTTCTCTGAGGATCTATTTATCTATTTTCACATATTGACATAAAGATAGTAGTTTAATAAGATATTTTATTTCCTTAAGACTAATACTCTAAGGTTTGGAGCCAACAATTTATAAAAATTGCAAGCAGAGTAAAAAAAATTCAAGAGCTATTGAGTAAAACAAAATAAAGAATTATATGCTTAAATAACTTTACCATAAATTAATATACATACCTCGAAACAATTGGGATKTTTTTGGAGATTGGATGCAGATGACTCGTTTAGGAATAACCAACTCATGGGGGGGTTGGAGTATCACAGGAGCATAAATTAAACTCATTCATACAATTCAATTTATTTGAACTCAAACCGACCAAACAAAATTATAAACCCAACCCAATCCAACCAGTTCTGGCTAGGGTATGTTGATTGAGTTATTCAGATCAGTTGGTTATTTGAGAACACCTGAATTACTATATAAGACTTATAATTTTTCACCCAACAACTCAAAACTGAGATCTTGAAACTAGTGAATCATATGAGCAACATATCACACACCTTCTCCTCCTCACGCTTGCGTTCCTTTTCTTTTGCCTTTTCTTGTAAATGCATGATGTATTCCTCAAAAACTTCCCTCGCAAAACTTTCTTCCCCAATTGATCTAAGCAAGTGCAGTTCAAGAATAACAAAATCAAATATACTGCAGAAGATTGAGTACCCCCAAAACTGCATCATAATAATTAATAGAAATCTTTAAAAACTACCTGTACTCTTCACTCTCTTCAAAAAGTTGTTTGCTATCCTCCCAGTTGGAAGAAGTTGATATCTCCTGTATCAAAAAATAGAACCATTGAAGTCAAATAACTGTTAAAGAAAATAGTTGGTATGAAATGGACTTACATTTCATCAACAGTTCTAAAAATACCTTGAATGACTGTAGCAGTCTTGAGAAGTCATCAGCCAGACGTTGACGCCTTTTGGCTTCTTTCTCCTCCTTCTCTTTGGCTCTATCTAGTAAGTCCTCATATACAAGCTTCAATAAGGTAGGGTGTTATCAATATCTCAAAACATGTATCGTGTTCATCAATATGATGATTTTCAATATCAAACCAAACGTTACAAACTTAAAGATATAGACAATGAAATGAAGTTTTTCATAGCGAGAAGAGTATATATGTGGCCTAGACAATGGGAATTGGGGAGTAAGAATACATTCGCAGACAGACTCAGCTTTCAGCTTTCAAAGAAGGCAAAGTTCTATTTACCCAAGCCAAAAACAACCAGAGACTTATTCGATAAACATATTAGCAGCCTAAACAATTAGAAAAGAAATATTTATGAAAGAACATAAGTATATGTATATTCATGGTCTTCAGATGACCAAGTGATCAGAAATTCAGACCATTCAATTACTCGAGATACAGAACGGTAATATTTACCTTAGGATTCTGAGCAACTAGTTTAACTAAAGATACAAGACCAAAATGCATATTTCGTCCTGGAAAAAAAGGTTGGAACTATACTAATCAAACACATATTGTACATGACACTGGTACTACAACTAAAGATACAAGACCAAAATGCATATTTCGTCCTGGAAAAAAAGGTTGGAACTATACTAATCAAACACATATTGTACATGACACTGGTACTACTACAAATGGAATTAAACACGTCATGAAATCAATATTTATAAAATAACTTTGAAAGAGAATGCAATAAAACCATTCCAAACTTTTAGACACCTTCGGCCAATGTCTTAAAGTAGAACCACATATTTGAAGCCTTCTTTTCTGTCTCTTCATTCCTTCTCTATTCTTTTTAGCGGGCGAGAGAGAGGGAGTTAGTTAGAGGAGAGAACAGCTATGCAGTACCTTAAAATTTATATCTGATACGGTAAGAGAACCACCCTCTTCAATGGCAGCCTTAAAGTCATCAAATGTCCATGATGAAGTGATGGTAATCTGAAAAGCATTTCATTAACATTAAAAATGGATTCAGCAGCAGTAATTGATCATAAAGATTATGATCCTACCTTCGCTGCCTTCATCACATCTTTTATCTGGGCTTTTTCTTCATGATACTGGAAATTAAAAAAAAAAAAAAAAAAAAAAGCGCAGGGTGGTAAATGTGAGCTTAACAGAGAAATTTCAAAAGCACCTTGGGTTCAACTAATGCAGGTAATTGAGCTAATAACCAAAAGATATGACATAAATTACAGAAATAAAATGAGATAGAATCCGTCAATACATCTTAAAACCATTTTTTCAGGGGAAAAAGAATGCACGCAGTCCTGCAATATTCTTTTCAGGTTAAGCTCTTCAGGAGAATTCAAGTTGCTGAAAAGAGGGAAATTCACCAAGCAACAAGATTTGTAGATGCAACAACTCCTATAATCAGCTAAGTTTAACTGAGATCAATTAGAAATAGAAACTACTTTGAGAGCAGGAACTTGTTAAAAATGAACCTAAATTCTTCTGAAACAATTGCATGAGGGATATACTGTTTAGCCTAAATTCATAAACTGAATTCCATAAATCCTGATCAGAAGTATCTAAGTTGCCAACCAAGAGATCTGAAGCCCAATTGACTGGATACAATATCACACCGTAGTTATGTTGTATAGCAAGTACCATTTCTCAATTACATACGCCAAGAATTTCATTGCTTGTTTTCAGTGGATGGGAGGATTTCTCTTCTTCAATGCTAAAGTTGCCGAAATTTCAAAAGTCGGAAACTGGACATTACAAGGTCAGAGAAGGCTTTCCAATGAAAATCATACCTCTAAAAGGAAAATGCTCTACAGCTTTAGTGAAGTTTGTGGTCTCATGTTATTCCCAATCATCAAAAGAATTTCTACCAGGGAAAAGACCTAAGGACAAAAGTACCTTTATTCACAATGCATTTCCTGGCATATTTACTCAATAGTATGTCAATTTTTTTTTATCTATATACATAAGAAAGTGGATAATATATTCCATGGAAAAAAAGTCACAAAGGAACTTGGGTGTGGGGAGGTGCAGAGGAACAAATAATTGAAATTATTCTAAATTGACTCCTAGCAGATACAAAATGAAAATCAGAAATAGATGAAATACTTCACCAACGTGAAAATCACCAATTGGCAAACTATTAGAGTCTAAAATCACCAGTGTCTATTTATCTTATCTGGATCTGGGTGATGTTTGTCTTTTATCATGGAAGGATTTTCATGTTTGGTCTCCCAGTCCGTCAAGGGGCTTTCTTATAGTTCTTTCTTTTCTTCTTTTGAGTGCCCTTTGCCTACCGTAGATGCCCCTATCTTGGCCTTGTTCTGGAACGTTAAAGTTCCTAAGAAGATTAAGTTTTTTGCTTGGCATGTTTTACATGTAAAAGTTGATATGTTAAATCGCAATTAGCATCGTTCTCCCCGGCCCTCTTACTAAGGCAGTAATGGTGTATACAATGCAGACATGCTGTTGAGGACTTGGATCATATCCTTTGAAGGTACCAATTTACACAATTGATCTGGGGTCGTTTTTTGGAGTCTTTCAAAGTCTCAAGGGCAAGAAACATAGATTGCAAAGAGATGATAGAGGCAGTTTGGGTGTCTATCCCCATTCGGGTTAAAGGCAAAACTCTTTGGATTTTTTTTTCCATTTTGTTGAGTATATGGATGGAGAGAAATGATAAGAGTTTTTAGAGGCATTGAGAGGTTTTGTGAGCTTTTTAGATTTAATATTTTTTTTATGGGCTTTGGTTACAAAGGGGTTTTGTAATTTACAGTTAGGTGTTCTTTTGGATTGGAGTTTCTTTTCCTTTGTCTTAATGGTAGCTCGATTTCTTATCAAAAATAAAATTGATAATAGAGAAAACCATTAAATTCACCAAACATCTAAAACAAAGTAAAGTAGAGTATGATAACCTTATTCTCTAATTCCTCAAGAACATCCTCAAACAAGTCCTTTGGTGTCGAACCAGATATATTTGAAGCAACAGCTTGGTACTGAGGCAACTCCTTAACCTAGCAAAGAACGATCAGGGAAGGTGAGGAAAGGGCCCTAATCCAGCCCAAATTTCAATGTTATGCAGCATATTAGAAAGCCTTCTACCTTCAAACAATAATCACGCCAGAAAGTTTTAGCTGTAAGAACACCCACAGAAATGTGTTCTTCCATGAGTTTGCGAAACTCGTCACGGTTTTTTCGTTCAATTCTTCGCACACGTTCCTTCAAGTGGTTAAATTTGAATGTGAGTGTCCTATCAATGTACTTAATATTAACAGGACCAACCATCCTAAAATGGATTGTACAGTTAGACCTTTTGTATCTTCTTCTGTTCGTCTTCCTCCTTTTCCAAGTCACGAATATAGTCCTGTACCAATCAAATTAAGCATAAAATTTTAAGTTTGAATACACAAACAGCAGATCAAATACAAATGAAAAACATGCCTGGAAAATAAGCAAGCGATCAAGTTTCTCAAGACGTGAGCATCTTTCGTCGTCTTCCAACCGATCTTGTACTTTCCGCCACTGGCTGCTCACCTAAACCACAGAATACAAGCCAGGAGAATGAGACATATAAGGAATAAGTAAATTTATATATCCAAAGCCTGAAGGATAATACCTTTATGTAGTCGCATGACTCAAGAAATTTCCTGTATTCAGCAATATTTTTCTTGTRTTCCTCTGCAGCCTTTTCTTTTTCCTGAGAGAAAGAATATGAGTGTTCTGTTCCCTTATCTGAAAAAAAAACTGTAATTTCATGCACTCCTACGTAAAAAAGGTTATAACAACTTATCATGCTAAGAAATATACCAAAAACTTGACATCACTCTGAAAAAGTACGGGACGACATCACAACTATTAATGGAAGAGCAACATGACCAAGGTACAACGAAGATATCCATTACTTTCTAATGCACAAAATAAATTGTTTATAATAATTTTCTTCGCACACGATGATTGAAATGCTTGTAATATAAACATGATATCATGTAATGATAATCCAAAGATATGAAATAAAATGTCCACAAAATGTCTTCCTCCCAAAGCGACATTCTGGCCTATCATTTTCAATTGCAAGGGAATTGGAACAAAATGCCTTCAATTTTTAAGTTGTAACTATCTAATCAACAACAGGGATGCACGACTAAAATCAAATAAATAAAAACTAGTAGGGAGAGGATATGACCCAAAAGAATAGGCAAGCAACATCTCAGTAATTCCATCATCAGTGTCAGTTTGGTCAATCAATCAAATATCAGCTGCTTTGGTTATAGAACTTCGGAACCAAAATCTTTTTGCCAATTCAGCTTTTTGCCAATTTTGGTCCGTTCTTTATGCAGTCAGTACAATTTCAAATTTTTAAGAAAATCCAAATTTTTAGTCACTTTTTATTTTCCCAAAAGTACCAACTGACCTACACACCTACCTACAAAAGGGAAATTTCTCACAGAACAGTACTAATGCTGCATGCACATGAATAACTAAATAAATTACTTTCACCTTCCTCTCAAGTTCCACTATGTAGCTTTCAAAAAGATCCTCTCGATCTCTAGCACGTTCAACAGCTTTGAACCGTTCGTCGTTCTCAAACATACTAACAGCTTTGCTGTCCCACAAAAAATTGAGTAACAAAAATATAAGATGGAAAGGACATAAAAACTAGTAAGGTAGTTAATAATAACAAAAACATAACTAAGCAATGAACCTCCATCTGGTAGATGATGCGAGTTCCTTGGACTCCTAGAAGAAAAATGCATATGCAAGCAAAAATCAAAAAGTCTGATAACATCAGATATAAAACAGAAGCATGACGAGAAATTGTCTACACAAACTTACTTCCAACATCTTAGTGAACTCCTCACGAGCTTTTTTCTGTCTTACGCGTCTTTCTTCTGCATCCAATTTTTTCCTATGTCCTAAATACTAAAAACATAAAATTCACCAAAGTAATCATAAAGTCTGCCTTTGTTGGGAAGAAAATAATGTTAGGGAAAAGGGGTAAACCAATTTCATCCCTATCCATTTCAATAGAACTTCATTAAAGTCCAATCATATCAATACCTCATGGAATGCTTGCTTGCGCTCACCAAGAGTTTTCAAGGCGCCATATCTTTTGTCATTGATTATTTCTCGCATAGCCTGACCAGATTATATTAGTATGCAATAAAATGAAAATTAAAAAATGTGCATGAAAAATGTCAAAACCAGACAAACCTGCTCCCACGTCCAATCAGATTGCACATTTACAGATTCCAGAAGCGCTTTAAATGCATTCTTGGCCTCCTGAAGTTTAAAGCATATTTTTCAAAAAAGAGAAATTAAACAAAACAATAACGACAATAATTGCATAAGTAAATATTCACAATTATAACATTATAGTACTCAATATTTTTCTCTCTAAAACCATTTCTAGAGAACATGTAGAAAGTACCAGCTTGTTGGCAAATACCAACGGTTCATCGTCAGCAGATCTCTCCTCCAAAACAGTCTCGTTAACTTTTCCTGCAACTGCCATTCCCTTTCTTGCTTCCTGTCATGATACCAAAGATTATTTCTTAACCAGAAACAAATTTTCATTGACAAATGAAAAGGAGACAGCAAAGATCACATTGAAAACTAGTTGAAAATTTACAAGCCAAATTTTGGAAGGCCATCATAATTTGATAGATGAACTAACCAAATTAACCTAGTTTAGTTATTCAAATTTAAAATTAGAAAGATCCTATGGGTTCAAATCATTAGGGCTTACCTGTGGAGGTTATGGATGGAAAGGAACAATAGGGTTTTTAGTAACTCTTTTCTCCCTTTCGAGGTTTTTTTTTATAAAGTTATTGTATTGCACTTGCTCTTGAATGGTGCAAATGTTTCTACTCACCCCTCCATAGTTACAACCTAAGCGATCTCATAGCTAATTGGGAGGTGTTTTTGTAACTAGCCTTACATGGCAATTTGTATATTTCATATCATCAGTGAAATACATGTTTCCTACTCAAAAAAATAAAATAAAATTTCAGAAAATTTTATAAACCAGTATCATTTATAAGGCTAGAAGTGGCAGCTTTAATTTCCCAGAAGATACCTCAATGTCCTCCGAAGATGTTCCATCAACAGGATTTTTGACATCTTGAGATGCAAGGCTTTCTAAACCAGTCCTATTTCCGAAAAGCCAAATACAAGAATAAGAAGAGCTAAATCGGAATAGTATATTCATTTGGAGCTGTTACCAAGAGAAAAGGGATGTGGAAAGTATATCAGCAAGACTAGTGCATACACTGACGAAGCATTGGCATGGACCACAGCAGGAGGACCAGTACCTCCAGAAGCAGCAACAGATTGAGAAGCAACTGTCATGACAGAAGACTGTACTCCAGTCACAGAAGTTGTTGCAGCAATGGGTGTGCCAGTAACGGCCAGTGATCCAGAAACCGCCACCGAAGGAGAACTAGATACAGAAACAAAAGGAGTGACTGGAACTGGACTTGATGCAACCCCAGATACCATTGGAGAAATGCTGGAGTTGATGGAAGGAACTGCTGGTGTTTCAGCATGGGAAAGACCAACAGCAGGCGGAGGTTGAGGTGTTGTCACAGCTATATCTGTTTGTGTTCCATGGACAGCTTCCTTCTGAGCCTGCTCACGAGCCAACTGCAAAAGCAAATCTATAAAGTCAGATAGGAAGCCAACAGTCCTTTTAAAGAAAAGAGTGTGTGAGAGTTATAACCCAAGATTTTAACCTTTAGTTCTTCTGGCATGGTCCACTTTGATTCTTTCGTCACCTTATTGTAATAATACCTATCCCGACTCGTGGAAACAATTAGTATACACGTTTATTCATGAAAATACTAGAAGTAACACACTGAAAAGAAACTTTAAGAAATATGTGAACGTAGCCATATTAATGCCAAATTGGAAATAAATAGGAACTTGGGACAGAGACAAGACAACGCACTTTCTTCCATCCGGGGCTGTAAATTCCTTCCACACAGTTGATGCATCAGCCCTCTGTAACAATTATTTGAAACAGAAACACAGGTATATTATTTTGGGAAAAGAAGTTCAAGCCAAATGTCCTCTAACTATGAAAATACAAAGAGTTTTAAAGAAAATACACAGAATATTGAACACAAAAGACGACAAAAAAGAACAATAGTCAAATAAGATATCTGAGAAAGAAAACATTTGTACCCTATTAAGAGAATATACAGAAAATAACTTGGGGGTATAACCCAAAGAAGATAAATTGATAACTGTTATAAATGCCTATCTAATAAAATTATCATTCCAGAAAAATCATACACATTCCCGGATTAACAAAATATCCAGAAAAATCATGATTTTGATGAGTCATATACTATGCCGCAGAGCCACCACACATCCCAACCCTAAAAGATTCAACATGAAAAGAAATAAAATTTAAGAACGGCATATCTATGGCAATGACTTTTTTTTAGAAAAGGTATAAGATGCCTTTTACAGATACTGCTTTTTAACAGATACATTATAATGTTATTGGTAAGAATAACACATAATAAAAAAAATTAAAAATTAATATGACATTTACCTCAAGTGGTGTCATAAGTTCCAATGGTTTCTCCCAACTGGACTGTTTTGTTTTTTTGTTGTAATAATATCTGGTAAATTTTTCATTCCGGTGAGAAATCAAGAAAATTGCAGAGGGCCAGAAAAAATGGGTGAATTACACATACAAACTGCAGAAGAATTGTTAACAAATTAACTGTGACTGGAAGCACAACATCAAACTGACATACATTTAAACCTTGGATTTTAAGAAATCTAAAAGCTGTAGCCACGGTGATAAATGAACCATTACCTTCTCCCATCAGCTGATGCATGCTCCTGCCAATCAGATGAAGACTGCTGATTGAAGACAGGAACATTAGCAGCCTGATATTAGAAATGACATGAAAAGGACCCATCAGTATATAGAATTTGGTATCTTAATGCACTGAGGAGCTAACATCACAAACCTGTCTTAATTTCTCATAGAAAAATACTGTGTTACCTAAGAAGAAAAATACCTTTTCCCAATGTGTACGTTACATACAAAAGGATGCGTCTGCCTTACAGGTTTATAAAAGAGCACCCAGTTTGAATTAATTACAAATAGAGAGTAACTTCAAAAAGTGTTTTATAGGGAACACCAAGAAGAATAATGGAATTCAGTCAACTGCCATATATATATATGTGTGTGTGTGTGTATTAGTGTATGTAAATGTGTTATGTAAATTGATATATTTGTATTGTTTCCGTTTCTTATAAAAATATATATTATGTATATACATATATTATTCTTTTATAACGGGGAGTCGAAGCTCTGGTCCCGAATACCCAGAGGCGCCCATGCTGGCCCCAAGGCCAGGACCCTGAGACATCAAGAATTTTTGGTATTAAACTCACTGAGAAGGTTCAAATTTGAGACCTCCAAACTAGTATGACCAAGAGACCTCAAGCCCTTGCCAACCAGGTTGCCTTTTGAGGCTATATATATATACATATATACCATATCAAAAACCCATTTCAATCTTTTTTCTTCAAGTATAAATAAGATAAGTAATGAAGAAGTAAATGAAATGACACTCCACTACACCATATATCTACCCAAAATCTAACATTGGGCCCATTTCCCACACAACGTCTGATACAATCTGGAAAGCAGCGCAACCTTGAGAGATAACGTTCCGAGAATATCCTTGGAGTCCCCTACAGCCATGTATTGATCACTACAGTGTTTATAACCCATATTTGGCTTCAATTAATAAAAGCCAAAATGCATCTCCCACCCTCCCTCCTCTCTCCCCAATGTCCCCATGTAACATGCAACCATGGCCAAGTTTAAGGAACTGTTTCTTTTCACAAATTCCCACTGTCCCACTCGGGGTGCAAACTTTCCCCAACTTATCAAATAGATCTACCTTCACTCATGCTTTCCTAAGACCATTTATCAAAGACTTAATACATAAGACCATTTTTTCGAGATACTAAATGGAGAGAAATAGTACGTACAATAAAAAGAAAAAAAAAACAATAAATTGAAATCTATCTCCTGCTTTTTACGTACAAGATCTATAGCACCCCTCCCATCAAAGAAGAAAGAAATAGACAAATTAAACAGTGCAAGCAGAACATACTGGATTTATGGCAGAAACTGAAGAATGCTGGTTAGCTTGCTCGACCGGTGAGACGAGGTTCGTAGTCTGATTCACAGAAGACAACCAAGGTTGGCTATTACCAACTCCAACGGGTGCATGCACTTGTGACATTGGCTGGAACTGAGAAATTAAACCAACATTGCTTGGTGTCAGTCAAGAGTAGATGGAGCAGAGCATACACTAGAAAATGATAATACAAAAAAATGTCTTCTCAAATTTACAGAAAATCAAGTAAACAACATGCAATAGAAGCGAGTATTACAGTATATGGTGAAGAAAGAGGTAGTCCATGAGCACCCATGCCATGCATATGATTATTTGGTGCAGCCACACTTTGGTGAGACTGAGGTGGAACAGAAGTAAGAGGCCTTGTCTGAGCATACGGCATTTGTATAGGCTGGGACGAAGGAGTTACATAGCTAGGATGACTTGGTCTTGACACTAACTGCTGCATTGATTGATGATACTGATGTGGCTGGACTTGACCAGTTGGCACTCCAACATTTGAAGAAGATATATTCTGCCCTGCTAACTGAAACTGTTGAGCAGCGGAAGAAATGAATGTCTGGCCTGGCTGTGCTGGGATAATCGGTCGAAACTGCAGCAGAAAGATCTCAGAAGTTCATTCCAACTTTATGAACATAAATATAAGATAGACTTCACCGAATATCAATTCAACTAACTAAATAAGTAACCGTGAAAAAGGCCTGCAAGAGAACCAAAATTTTGAAGTCCCATGGAAACGACCAAAAGAACCAAACAGACTATTACACCAAAAAGGAAGGGAAAGAGTCCCATGAATTTAAAAATATATATAACAATAGTTGAACAAACAAAGAAAATGTCTGGGCTGGAGCATAAGTAGAGTGATAAAATATATACAAGTACTTCTATATATATACATACACACACACACACACAAAGAGCTATAATCCAAGATGTATTTTTTTATTTTTTTAGTACAACAAGTGGGGTAGGGGATTCGAACTCATGATAATCGGAGATGTTTATTGAGGACTGAGAAGGGTTCTGTTACCTGTCCACCTGAGGACTGAGACAGGTTTTCCATTTCAGAGCATAACCGAGAGTCAAGCTTTGAGCAACCAATGCCAACAGATCAGTGAGCTAACTCCCAGTTGTAGTCACCAAAAGCAAGAAATAGAAATCCAACTGCAAACAACTCATAAATGTTAGTTAAGATAAAGATAGTTGGATCTGCAGGTGCGTGCAATCAAATAACTAATTTCAATTTTCCAAGGTTGTTTTCCTGGACGGTGTAATTGGAATTTAGCCGCCTTGGCTACCCTCATACTCCACCCATGACAGGGTGGCTAAAGCAACCTCCATCAATCCATTGCATGCCAGTAAATGACAAAGGTGCAACTCAAAGTTGTCCCATGAAATAATTTAAGAGAGCGGGAAGATAACTCATAAATATGTCAGAATTTCGTAAAACTGAACATCCAAAAAGGTAATCATAGTTTCAAAGCAAAAGCTGGTATGGTTAGGAAGGAAATAGATAACCGTTAGACCATAAAGATGCGAAGAAACAACTGAAACAGCCTATTGCACCATTCTTCTCAATTCTTATACATCCTAAACCTCCAAATTCATAACTGGGTAGATGAAAATAAACCAGCCGCATGCAGCGTGAATGAGAATATCACCGCACTCTTCACTACTAAGACTAACAATCTCCAAGAAGTCTCAATAATACCGTATGACCATAAAATTGGCACCATAGAGAATTCAATAGAAGAACGACTCAGTGGGAAAATAACAGACCGATCTCCAGCAGACATAAATTTCCTATCAAAGAAGTAATGGGGGAATACATTAAGCTCCTCAACGTTTCAGCAAACTCGAATCCTAACTTCCTCTAGATTTGACGTTCTCGAGGTAAACAGCGGTGTTATTTTAGAATATAAACAAAAATCAAGATTTGTCAAAAACCCAGCTCCGCGTCAACCATGATCTTTCAAATTCTTTCCCTATGAACAAAATTTTTTCTCCATAAATATATAGAATATGCAGAATCCGATACCAAAGCACCAATAAAAAGATAAATAGATTACTCACAGTTACGGGTATATTTCAAGTTGAGGTGGGCAGATGATGGCGCCAAAACCAGTAGCGGGTAAGAAACCCGACTGCTCGGAATCGGATCACGGAGCCACGGGTTCAATCGAGTTTTAGGGTTTAAGTGAGAAAAATAGCAGAGGGCCGACGAGAGGGAAACTAACTGATGGTGGCACCGAGTAGAAGTTAAAAGGGAACTTTTCGGCGGCTAAAATTTATTTACCGCGTTCGGGAATTAACCTCATAGAAATATAATTGGGCAAAACTCACCCGCAGCCGGGCGGAGCTACCGTCGCCGGTTAGAAAATTTGCAAGTTGTGTTTGGACACAATTTTTCTTTTTTAAATAATAGACTTTTTTTTTTAGAAATAAAATAATATTATCATAGCAACAACAAAATGAACATCTATGGATTTTTTAGTGGTAATCAACCACCAAATATATGCTGACCAATCAGCATTAAGTATTTTTCTTATAATTATGGAAACGAATACTCAAACCTTTTACCTATAAATAAGTTACTAAGGGTGTTTTTTTTTTTACTGTATTTCTTTGGTCATCTGAAAATTATTTATTAAATAAAAAATAAAGTTGTATTTCATGTTTTATAATATGTGTTTGGTACTAAAACTTGACTCTCAATCTAAAAAAAATATAAATATAGTTACCCACTCAATATTTAATTTAATCTAAAATATTATTAATTAATTTATTACCCTATATATTATACTTTTTATTATTTTATTTATGCTATACTATGATTTACATGTTTTAATTTCAAAAAATAAATAAATAAGTTTAAAACATGAAATGATATATTTATTAAAGTTTCTACTTATTTTTAATGTAGTTATGTATTTTTAATGTTTCAAAATCAAAAATGGAAAACGTTTAAAATATAAAAATGTTGTTTTGAAAATTTGAATCACATGACACAAAAATAGTTTTTGAAAAACAATGCATTGAGTATATTTTGACTTAGTGAATCTGAAAATAAAAAACAAAATTCATATTCTAAACCTATACTAATATTTTCAAGCTATTTTATAACAAATAACCTCTCATTATCAAATTTTAAAAAACCATCTAACTTTTTAACTACCATCAATATTTCGTTAGTACAACAACTGAAGTGGAGAGATTCAAACTCATGATATATGCGTGTCAATTAATTCTGAGCTAAGTTTAWATTGGTAATTATAGTCAAAGTTAATATTTATCCATAGTAATAATCTTGTGGCCTTTTCTTATTAACAGTAAAATGTCTACTGAATTGTTGTTGAGCGCTAAATCCCGTGTTTGACCATTGCATCATTGTTGTTTACTCCCTATTTATAATCATCTTCACTTTGTTTACTCCCTATTTATAATCATCTTCACTTGGGCTTGTTGGGCCTTCAAAATTATTATAGTTTAACAATATATAAGAGAGCCAACCTCAATTGTTATATTGTTAAGGCATTTATCCATCCACACCATGTGAATTCGAATCCCCGTTCTAGCCTGGTGTACTGAAGAACATATAATGGTAATTTTTTTACTCTTCGATGAACAATATAAACCTTAATCAACCAGTTGGTTGGGACCTTGGGTACGTTCACACAGTTGAAATTTAGAGTTTAAATGATAAACGTTAAAATTAACTCACAATCACATGTATTACACAGTAAACTAAACATTACGATAGATCTAAAACTATTTTGTCTGCATAATATCACTCCAATTTCATCTCGGTGCTAATATTGCTTACACGAATCAAACCAAACACAGAGAGCTTCGTCCACGGACATTTTCTCTACATGGTTCGTTTGGAAACCGGGGAAGAAGAAGAAGAAGAAGAAGAAGAAGAACTGATCAAACTATCATCTCGAACCGCCGTGAAGTGCTTGCAGGACAAAGTACCAAACATTTTTATCCACCCTCCAAAACCAGACAAATTTTTGTGCGACTTGTAATTATTACTACTCTGATCTCCGGTGCACTCCCTATAGGCCGCAAGAAACGGGTCTTCAGCGCGCCCCTCGTCTTTCTGCAGCTTTCTGTTCCCTTTTCTCGCCGAAGAACAAGGCGGTGGCCGGAGCTGCTTCGGCATCAGAACGTCGCCGTCGCGGCGGCTGTGCGGCGGCGCCACCTCTGCTGATTTACACACCCCTGGCTTCTTCTCCCACGAGAAAGCCACTCTGCCTCTTGAATGGGTTTTGTTAATGCTACCCATCGGTCGCCGTCCGGAGTCGACGGCCTTTTAATTTGGGAATTTTGGAGGTAATTGGTTTAATTTTGTTATTCCCCGTTTTATAGGAGAGAGCCATTATTTATAATTTGGTTTTTATTTGTTTATTTTTTAATTCCAAACGCCAGCTGAGGTTCCACTAAGGACAGACAAATAAAACAGAGGAAGCGGGTGCGTGAAAAATTCCTAGTCCCATATCGTTTTACCTTTATAAATAATTTGTTTAATATTGATAAATCCGGCTGTGAATGAAAAAAAATATTCATATTCTCRTGGTACCATAAAATTTCTAGTGGCTTTACGAGAGAAAAATATTGTCAACACCCATGTTCGTGCTGATCAAAATAATCCATCGTTTTTAAAAAAATATAAATGATGATTATATATATATTATTTATCTGTTTTACTTGACAAAAAATTAAATGATGATAAAAATAAGATGGATGTTTATTTTTTCTCAAATGTTAAATTATCATAAAATTCGAACACAACACAACCAAACTCTTATTTGTCATAAAAGAAGATGCTATATCCATAGCAATCAGCTATATAAATTCGTTCCCAATTAGCACCACAACCCTGCGTGAAAATAAATCTTATTAGGTAGGTTTCTATGCATATTTTTTTTCAAACATTTCAATTCTAGCGTCATCTTTTAAAATTGTTTTTAAAAAATATCTTTATGTCAACCTTTTCATTTAAAATAAAACAAAAATATGATGTTGCTGTGAGTTGAACGATGAGTTGTTAAATGAAAATATGACGTGACACAAACGTTGATAATGAGTTCTCTCTAAAGTTTTAATTATACGTTTACTTTTAAAACTAATCAGAAACAAAATTTTCATTACTTTCTCAACGAATATACAAATCTGACACGACAGTAAGTTGAAAAAAATGAATGGATCTTAATCAAATTAAAAAATAACATCACTCAAAGAGAAAAAATTTTGAGGTTAGGAATTAAGATAAACTATTCTTCATCATTTGGCAATCAAAAGATTTTGGAGGAAACAATTTGAAGGGGCAAGCAAACCATGGAGTAGGGATGAAATTTGAGGCCTCCCTTCCCCATAACCCCACTCTTTTACGAATTTAATCTCCAAGGACTTATTCATTTCGAAAAGCTCTCTGAATTGAATCCTGCACTCCAACTTTACCAATATGTGTGTCTTTTTTTTTTGGTATATTTTTATCCATCCGTGAGTTTTTCTAAACTGCACGGTGGCTTCTTCCTAAAGGGACAAAATTTTACCTAAACCTCATACCTCAATTCTACTTTCCTCCGTGATAAGCACCATTTTGAATGTAACTAAAAATTTTCGAATGTCATCTATGTCGACATGTAACTTCTATTTTTGTGACTGTCACTTTATTTTTTGTCATTATTTTAATGAGGGAGTTAGTGAAATGACTGTTTAAAAATATTTGTAAGAATTAAATGTTAAAATAAAACATTTGAAATAACACATGGACATACAATATAATTAAAACTCATCCAAAAGTTTAAAATATGTAATTGAAAAAATTATGTACTTACATCTACGTGTACATCTGTCACTTTTACAACTTAGGTTTTCTTTTTGTATTTCTTAACTGACTTTGATGATTAAAAGTATGATTTAAAACTTTTGAAACAATTGTACTGTAAGTATAATTGAAACCAACTCTAAAAATTTATGGCATTTTGTATAACACTCCACCAAAACAAAACAAAACAAGAATTTACAGCTTAGCTCGTCTTCGTCATATTTAATCTTTAAAAGTTGAAGAATTCAAAAACTCACCGAGAGAGACAGGGTGGGAGTAGACTCAGTAGAGAGGATACATACAAGCAAGCCAGATATACACTCTACATGAACTTTTCCATTTAATTATAAAACAATATTTGATCTCCTAATCAATTCTGTCATTAATTTAATTTTTTTTTTCTATTTTTTTATTGTAGCTCTAAGAATTCCAACCGAATCTTACACCTGTGTTTTTTTTTTTTTACCTTTTTTATATTAATTTCAATATTGAACTCTCACTCTAACATGCTATAAACTCAATTCTATTTTTCTCTTGATGTTTACAAAAAAAAAAAATAATAATAATAATAAATAAATTGTTTTAGTACTAATTATTGTGTTATGCTTAATAAATTTATTGGTGAAAAATTATTGCCTAGAACAATAGAATTATGTAACGATGTAGATAAGTATATTATTGTTCATTGTTATATAAAATTAGTCAATAATCTAATCTTGTACGTTAATCTTATCTTTTTTATCTCATCCACGAAGTGAAACTTAAAAAAAAAGAGAGAGATTGTTGACTTTTAGTGATGAAAACTTTCAATCAAAAATAGAAATGGTTAAGGTTATCGTAGTTTAAGATGATCTGTATACATATATTTAATATATTTCGTTACTAACTAAGGTTTTTGAGTTTTCACTTTGTTTTACTATAATATACGATGTCGTGTGCAACAAACCACCCTATTAAAATAAAGATGTAATCTTTATGTTAATATATGTATTTAGGCTCAATACATAGGACAATGTAATGGGTTGATTTATATTGTGAAAAAGACAAAATTGACTTAGGCAATATTAAATAGGAAAAAGCCAAAACTAATACTTTCAACCTATATTCAAACAATCCTTCAATTTGAACATTCTTTAAAGACACTTATCTTCCAACAAAAAAAATTATTGAGTTCGAACCCAATTCTCATCCTTTCATGTTAGTACTAAAAAAATTAAAAATAAACTTTCGTAAATTTACAATACTAGGTAAGAGTACAACAAATCAATAAAATTATCGCCAACTTGATCATAGTTCAACTCAAACACCTATCTCTAATTAGAACATGTGTGTTTGAATCTTCATCCATACGAATTGTATTAAAAAATAAATATAATCATAACATATCTTCTTGTTTTTATTTATAATAAATATGTATTTTACGTTATGTCTTTGAAATAATTCATAAATTCAATTATTTAATTTTTAAATAAAATACTCACATGAGTAAAACTTACGTGAAAGTGAAAAGAGGACTCTCCTGATACTACGACGATGTTTAACACCATTTGAATCAGAACCGGCAGCTTATGGACGGCCCGTCAGTGCATTTCTTGTAGGCTTCCACAAAGGGATCTCTCTCCTTAAAAATATCTCGTTCCCAGCACCCCAAACACGCATCCTCCTCCACAATTCAATCCTCGCACTCTCCGCCCTATTTCGAGGAGAATATGAGATCTTCGTGCCATAGTCGTTGGAAAACCTAGAACTCTCCGATCGATCCGGCGGCGATGGTAATTTTTCAAGCAAGATTGCACTAGGGTTCAGATTCGAGTGCAATTTCGCTGGCCTCCCAAGAGAATGGCACGTTCATCGATTGAAGATGTTCGAATTAAAAATCCTTAGAGTTAGCCATGACGATTGAAAAATCAGTGCGAGTTTTGGTGTGCACAATTCCAATCGGGTGTTTATATATGGATTCGGGGAGATGGTTTGCTGGTTATCTACAGAAAAAGATATCCATATTAATAATTGGCAGCTCCAATCGGTCTTTCAAATGTACAAAAGTTGCTTCAAATTGAACAAATACAGCATTGAGGATGTGGTTCTGGTGTTTAGTTATTTTGACATTTTAACCCTTTTTTCGTGATATGTGCTATTACTTGGAAAATGGTTGTGGTCCGGAACTTTATTAAACTTGACCATGTTTTTTTTTATATATTATATTGATATTTCTACAAGTTATGAAAAATTTGCCCATTTATTAATGTTAAGTTTGGCGTTTCTCTGTAGTTTCTCCATTTTCCCCCAATAGGCAGGCCCAACAAGTTTTAGGGCATTTTAACCCAATAATTTCAGGCCCAATAACCATATTACCTTTTCCTTGATAAATACAGATTCCTTTGACCTATCTAGCCAGCGTTCGACATGGCATTTGCTCTGCCATGTGTTTTTGTTGAAAATCTCCTGATCTCCCTCGTGTCAAAGCCGTAAAAAGTAAGTTCTCACATTATTTCTAGTTTCTACAATCTTTTTTTGTTTGCTAGTCTCACTGTTTTCGTTGTCAGAATTCTGTTAACCCTCAGCATCTGCTAGGGTTTTGGTTGGAATTGGGGTTTTAGGGTTTCCATAATCCCATTGCTTCGCTGCCATTTGATGCGCCCAAAACCCTGGGGATTTGGGTTCGTTTGGTCATCTGATTCAACGCCGACTCTCTGTGATCCACATTGGTTTCTTTTATAGTTCTATTCATGCTGCCAATTGTGTTTACAGATTGCCGATTTCATCATATACTCTGTTTAATTAACGAAGTTGAAGATTGCGGATTAAAAGAGAATTCTATTTCTTTTTTAGTTCACTTTCTTTCTTTGGATTTATATCTGATTCTTTGATTAATTTACGGTGGGGAAAGATAGTATAGAAAGATAGTTCATTTTGTCAGATTATAACAATGCTGTGTGTATATTTATTGGTTGATTTAATTTATTTTCCTCCAAAATTGTAGCCAAACGTGAGAAAAGCCCTATCTATTGCTGCAGAGGTACTACGTTAGGATGAATAAGAGTAGTAATAGAATGGAAAGCAACAATGATCAGTCCAGAGGCAAAAAGATTTTTGTAGGGGGTTTACCATCTGATTTAACTGAGAATGAGTTCAAAAGCTACTTCGAAAAGTTTGGTCAGATAACAGATGTAGTTGTGATGCAAGATAGTGTAACAAACCGTCCTAGAGGATTTGGGTTCATCACATTTGATTCAGTGGAATCTGTAAACTATGTTCTGCAGAACAACTTCCATGAGTTGAATGGTAGGCGTGTGGAGGTGAAGAGAGCTGTCCCAAAGAATCGAAACTGCAACTCCTCCAACCCACAGAGAGGAAAAAGCCCTCTAAGCCCTCATGTTCCTTTGTATTATCCACATTTTAGTTCTGGACCTGTAGTTTATCCTGGTTATGCACCATTTCCACACTATTATGGCTCAAGCCTCTATGGGAGCTGGCACTACAATGGCTTATATGGCACTGGGCATGAGGCTCCTCCCTTGCCCTTGGGGAGTGCTTGGTATGCCCCAAATGTTTTTGGTGATGGTATGTTTCCTTCGCCCTACATAAATTCTGTAATTCATCCTGTATATTCAAGCAAAGGAGGTAGGCTCTTAGATCCAATGGCTGGAAATGGAAGAAGAAATGGAAATATGTCGGCTGATGCTGTGCCATTTCAGCTCAACAATAGAGCTTGAAGGGATCTGGAACTCTTGCATATGGAAAACATTTATTATTGGTTTTGCACCTTGGATAAGGGCATTTGGAGATTTTGTACATTCTGTTACTGCTATGGTGTCACATCCTCCTTTAGTTGTTTTTATTTTTATTTTTTTCTCAATCTATCTCTTTTCATGTCTTTAATTTTCATTCTTAACTCTATTTATTTGAACCCGTGTTTCATTTGTGGGATTTAGATATTTGTAATATAATTGTTTTAGGATTTGGATAATGACAAAAAATTGTGTCATAAATAGAGATAATGCTGTGACAAAGAGGAGTGTTTCAAAGACCTGGCAGATGAGTATTGGGCCAAACATCTCATCTGTGATCTACTAATCAATAATTTTGTAGTTAGTTTAAGAGACGTTGGCGGGCAAGGGCTTGGAAATTCTCGAGAATAGAATCGGATTTTGTGCGATAATTTTCCTTCATTTATTTTTAAAAATTATCTCAATTAAATATATTTTTCTAAATTAATGTATAATTAATTTCTTATTTTTAATGATAAAATAATTTTATTTATATGTCTAATCTTTCCACGTAATATTGGATGGGTGGGTAAAAAAGAATACAATTTTTTTAGTATATGCATATGCAGAGAAAACAATAACATTATCTTAATGTGTATATATATTTTAAAAAAAGTAGGTGGGAATTGAGAATGAAGATGGGAAAKTCTCGGTCTTCATTTAGTTGATAGGGAAAAAATTCCTCCCATACTCATCACGGATTTTTCTTCCCGTTTAGGCCCGTTCTTAACGGCTTTTTTCGTGTTTTAGTGCAAGAATGGCAATCTATCACCATGAGTATTAGTCTTTAATGTTATTACATATAAATTTCAAAACTATTTTAAAGAAGTCTAAGTGGTAAATTATAATGTTTAAACAAAATTATCATACACTTACTTAAATTACTATTTACAATCAAAATGACTTTCAAATTGTTTTTGAAAATCGAAAAAAAAAAGATAAATAAAATAAAGAGAGACTAAAGCCTTTAAAAATGACAAGATTGTGAGGACAAAATTCTGATTGCTTCGATTGTCGGTGGCTCTCTTGGATGCACTTCATCCAAAATCCTTTAAATTTTAAGATTAAAATTGATTACTAGACTAAATATAAGGATGAAAAAATTCTGCATATATGATTAATTAATGAAATCCGTCCTTACAGAAAAATCCATGCAATCATAATAAGTTTAAAAAAAAAAATTCATAACAAGTAACAAGACAAGATAGTGAAATTTTTTTTTTTTATTGTTAGTCACAATCCATCTTCTAAATTTACCAAATAGTTGCAAGAGGCAGAAACTGCCCATAAATAAGTATTGTTACGATCAAACCCTTGAATGGTAGGATTCTTACAATGAAACCTTTTTTTTACATAAAGTTTTTATTTTCTTAATCTAGATGTCGATCTAAAAACCAAAAATAATTTGGGTTGTAACAATCCGAACTTAAATAGTAATAATCTATGAAGGTCGAGCGAGGTCCTTTGCACTTTTTATAGTATCTAAAAGTTTAATAGTAACAGTTTTATAAATTTAACATCTCCATTGATTAAATTAAAAGTCTAGGATGTGACAGTGATTGTTGCCATTTTCTTTTTAGACCCATTTGAGCATGGGCATTAATAATGTTTTCTAGAAATGAATTTTGTAAAGGGAAAATTGTTTTGAAAAGATTCAAATTAGTGAGATTGGAAAGGGATGGGTAAAGTTTAGACATTGACATTGCACTGTCGATCCATTGACATAGACAATGTGGTGACAAATGGAAGATGGCAAACGAGGCACTAATGTAGAACCTGGAGGAAGCCGATTTCAATGAAAAATTTTATCCTTTTTGATATATTGACCAACGTCTAACTTAAATCTCAATGTACGTGGTACCTCAAAAACTTGAAGCACTTGCTAGTGCGCCATGGACCACTTGCAAAATTTGTCATATAGCTTTATGGTTGAAATACTATTTTGGTCCTTATATTTTTAGTTTTAGTTCATTTTGGGTTTGGTACTTCGTTCATTTTGATCGATGTAATTTCAACTTTGGTTTAGTTAGACTTTTGAAAAGTTGACTATTTTGATCCTTGTTTAACACAAATTCTATGCCTAACGTAAATTCTTTAATAAAAAACCATGATTATATTTCAATAAATATATTGATATAAACATAAAATTTAAGAAACCAAAACGGTCACTTTTTAAGAGTACAAGATTAAATGAACATTGTAAAAGAACACGGACTAAAATGAACCAAAGTTAAAAGTACATGGACCAAAATGAACATTTTGAAAATACATAATCAAAGTTGAATATACAAGACTAAAATCGTATTTTAAGCTTTTAACCCATATATATATATATATATATATATATATATATAATCTTACAATTTTAATAATTTAAATGGGTAAATTATAAAAGTTTTTAAATTTTTAATATTGTGAACAAAATGCTTCATAATGGGAGCTATATTTGTGTCTTTGCTAACCAGTTGTTGGCTACTCAACCACCAGCATTTTGAAAGTGAAGTAACATTTGGCCCTTTTGCTATTTGAGGTTAAAGGAGGCCACCTACATGCCCTGCATTGGAAGGAACTGCTTCAACATAACATAACAAAGTCTACTCTTCAACCTTATTCTCTTTCACTTTTTACTTCATTTTCATGTCTATGCTCAACAAAACTTGTACCGCCATTCCTATTTGCCAACATTGAAGTCAATTTCTAACGCATTGAACAAGGACCATTAATTTTCACTCACACTATTGTATAGTTTTTTTTTTTTTTAATACAACATGTGGGGGTGGGAGATCGAACTCTCGACCTTTTGATTGTGAATATATGCCAATTACTATTGAGCTATGCTCGTTTTGGCACTATTGTATAGTTAAAGCATACAAGTTTCGCTTTCAATAATTTTGTTACTCAATTGTCAATAGAAGCCTACTAAATAAGACCCAATTGGTAAATAAGCGCTCAAGCAGCTAAGAGCACAGAAATGGGATATGTTACATCTATTCATTCCATAATTTCGAATCACTTTCCCTCTTTCACACTCTTTATGTAGTTTACCTATCTGTGCGAGAGCCTTTCCATTATTGAGTTAACGTAACTATTGTAGAGTGTCTTAGACCGACGCTACACTAGTGACCATCCAATTCTATAGTCTATCTGTTTCTTCGAACTAAGTTATAAGTAGCTGTTGGGTTTGTAAGAATACAAACAAAGTTCCACATTGACTAGAAAAGAAGATGATCGTGAGGGTTATGTTCAAAACGGACAATATCATACAATTGTAGAGATATTTGAGAATACAAAGGCAGCGTTGTCCCGTTCAAATTTGATATTTCTTGCACCCAAAAGAGGAAAAAAAAGTCTTTGCCAACATTTGTGTAGACAGACACAGAGTAAGCTGCCATGCCTCCAAACGTCAAGGCTCAAAAGTCAGGAGTGGCGAAATGCGATGGCCCATCCCCAGCCCCACAGCCACAGGACAAGTTTTGTTTTGTCCAAATCACAGCGCTACATCAACATTCAACATGGGGCTGAGGCTGACTATAGCCACCGTATAAAACAGTGCTCAGGACACTGGTACATCTTTGTTCTTGTTGGATTTTCTTTCTGTCGCTCACTTTTCCCTGTTGGGTTTCGAATTGAAATCTGAAACCCAGAAATTGAAATACCCATCAACAACAATTCAACACACAGCACGCAGCACAGTACTGTACGAAAAGACACCAAACCCCAGACTTTCTGCTGCTCAAATCCATCAGAACCTGCCCCTACTGCCCCTGCAATTTTTTATTTTGAAACCCCAACCAAAATAATTGCTTCAATAAAAGAGATAATGCCCATTTTGGATGCCTGACCCCCGCTTACCCCACTCTATGCCCTTCATAAACTCCTTCTACATTTAGCAACCTTCTGTAACTGGGGACACACAGCGCACCAGCGGTGAAAAGTGGGCAATAATGTCTCGGTTTTCTTGACCTTTCTTGGAAAAATTGGGTCACACATTAGAGAAGACCCATCTGATTTCAATTTGTCATTGCTTTTTGATCTGGGTTATGTTGTTGGAGTTACCAATTTCAAGAATAATGTAACACCACTAATATAAGACGTGTTGTTTTTGTTTCTCATTTACACAGATCCCTATGTGCTAGGGGGAATTTCTCTCCATA